AAAATGTCTAATTTAAAAGGGGCTGAGAACTATCTAACCAAATGAAGTTTCTTACTGCTGAAGCTCTTGCACTGAGCAAATATGAGATCACACTCAAATTATAACAACTCTTCAATGTATTACCAAAAGTAGAAATGCTACTACAAAGTTAGCTCATCTTTTAATTGCTACAAAAAAAATCACAACTTACCCCTTCAGCTGTGTTGTAACATGGATTTTCAAATGAAGCATCATCGTCTCCCTCCCCATAACGGCTGAAGAAGCTGAACCTCTGGCCAGTACGCCTGGGTCAATTATAGAATGTGGAATATTGATACAGATTTGTTTAGTTATCTTTTGGTCTGAGTTATGTAAGCGGTCCCCCTACATACTAGGTGAATGAGTAGCCTAAATTGGTAAGAGCACAGCCACTGATGCAGGCCAGAAAAATTATTTTTATGTACAACCAGACTAAGCCAGGCTTGATGTATTTCTTAGGTGGAATGAACCAGAATGCCGTCTGGTAAAGGCCCTTTATACGTCGATGAAGGTTACACATCCAGATAGAACATGTAAACATGTAAATGTAATGTAACACAAAGTAAATGAAGCAACCGGATATCCAGTTTATTTTGGTATTACATTACTTAATGTACATGTAGGAGGGAAACTCACTTGAGGTGCCAGGCATAAACTCCCAGGGCAAGTACAGCCAGACAGAGGATGGGCACCAACACAGCAGCAGCTATGGAACCTCCACTCAGACCCTTACCTGACTGGGGCTTTGAATTGGGAATCTCTGAACCTGGCATGGGAAAAGCATTAAAACATTCGTGGAATTAAATGATAGTACAGTTAAGTCCAACTTAATCCTGAGGACTTAGCTCCATTTACAGAACTTTACAGATTAAAACAAAGATGTGTGTTGATGTAACATTTTCTTCCTATAACTCATTGCCATTCACAATGCTCTAACCTGATTTTATTGGCTGACTTTTTGTACTTTTTGCACAGGCACAAAAAGCTAAGTTAATAATAGAAACTATTCCTCAACCACATGTATGTGTACAGATATGGCAGCTGTGTCAACAGTATTCGATAGATATTTCAGTAATTGCAAATAATGAAAGATGACAAACTTGAGATTTGGAGATCAAAGCTCCCAAAGTCAGTTGCCAGGATATCTCCACTGTACATTAAGCCTCCTGCAATGTAGTACAACTGGAGAAAGAAATAAAGCATTTAAAGACAATTTTACAAGAGATTTTCTAGGCAAAACTTTAGATGTAGAACTTGAATCAAGGTCTACAAGACTTAGTCTTGATGTACTAATAATATGTCTATTATATGTCATTATCATCCTCGCCACATTTCAGTGCCTGGCACTGAGGCAGAACCTCAATGTCTTACACATTCTCAAGCTAGTATATTAACATGTACCAATCCCCACATATTTGTAACCAACTATGTAACTAAATTATAACTTACATATCCATCAAATGTTACTCTGGTAAGTCCCATGAAGTTACTTGGATCAGCCAGTGTGAGGTCTGAACCAAGAAGGGTCAGAGCGTTCTCTGCTGGCTTGTAGGTTCCTGGTAACAACAACAGAGTAAGTAAAAATACTAAATCCAAATTCATTATTCACAACAGCTATCAACACTAAATTCTCCCAAATATGACAAAACTCTTGGAAGGTTTAAGTCACCTAAAAGAGTGAAGGAGGAAGAGCCATCATCAAAGTCTCCGATAATGGTAAAGGAGCTCTGCAGCACAGCTGTGATGGTGAGCGTACAGGGGTGCTTCCTGCCTTTGTATTCATAAAAACCAGTCCAGATCTGCTCCTCTACAAAGGCTTGCACAGGCACAGTGGGCTTGGGTTCAGGCGTGGTTGGATAGAGGACAGTAGGTGGCTTCTCACTAGGCTTACTTCCCACTAAAAATAAAAAAAAATTAAGCTAAAATAAATTTTGTATTTTGACATTAAATCTATTCATTTGACAAAACATACACCAGTTCTCACTCCTATGTATGTATTTTGTACCATGTATGTGTAATGACATGTTTATAGATTTGTCAGGACTTTAAATGATGATGTAAACTTTATTTTTATCTGATCCTTACCTCTTCCGTCATGAAAAGTGGCCTGCAGGCCAATTTGAGCTTTTCATGAATAAACAAACTTTAAGGTTCAAGCACAACACATGAACATACCTTCACAGACAATAGGTTTCCCACTCCACTGTCCGTTGTCCTGACAGACCCTGATCGTGTCTCCGCTGGTCTGTGTATATCCACGCTGACAGGTGAAGATAGTTGTGTACCCCTGACCTTGCAGGTCGCTCACTGAAACAATGTTTGCATGGTCTGGAGCCTCCAGCTCCACGCAGTTGTGGGCTGTGTGGTGGTGAAGGGGAGAGAAGTTCACTCATTTACACTTCATGAGCAGTTCCTTAAATAAATGACGTTCATTCAATACAGATTTTAAAACACTGTCAAATAGCATTATGGATGATTTCAAGTAATTGTGGTGTTACAGTAATTATGCTCACTTTCTGTAATTATGCTCACATACTAATACTGAACAAATCTGCACTACTATTTGGCTTCCAAAAGCTTCAGGTACTCACGGACGCAGGTTGGTGGCTGGCCATTCCAGCTCAGCGTGGCTGGGTCACAGATCAGACTGGTGGGGCCCAGGATGTGGTAGCCGTCCTGGCAGTGGAAACGGACGATAGCTCCAGGGAGGAAGCTGGTGGCGTTTCGGCTGCCATGATCTGGTGATCCGGGGTCACGGCAGGACTGCTGAGTGGCAGCTGTGGAAAGGTGGGAAATGGCAAGATGTTTGTTTCTTAAACCAACATTGACATTTGTTACTAAAGAGATGACTTTCCGAATAACAAGTGGCCGAACAACAGTTATAAGTCAACTGAAAGTGGTAATTCTTTGATTGGACTAAACAAATGGTGTCATTCTGTGTGCTAAATGATTATCTTACAACCTAGCGAGTAGTTCCTGCAGATATGTTAGGCGTTCAAGATAAACATGCATTCAAATAACGTAGTGCTTTGAACTTAGGGTTTCTGAAAACTTGCACTGACTTTGACAGACAGGTAAAGAGGATGGACTCCATCTTCCGTCAGCCATGCACTGCTGCTGATTGGTTCCAATCAGGATGTACCCTTCGTCACAAGTGAAGGTCACTCTGCTTCCGAAGGTGAAGCGGCTCCCCTGTCGTTGGCCATTAGCCGGGACACCAGGGTCGCCACAAGATACAGCTGAAATTCAAACCTATGTTTTCAAGTTCAAAGAAATAAGGCCATTTGTATGGCATTGTGTCAAAACTTAATATTGAAACTACTGTTCTTATAAATGGCCCCTTGTCTAAATACACATTAAAAAAACAGTGATAACACTGATGCCACCAGAAAATAGTTACATGTAGGTAGAACGTGCGTATATACATTGTAGGTTACTTACGGACACATTGCGTTGTCCCCAGCAGGTTGCTTCCCCAATATCCATTAGCTCTACATGTAAGTACGTTAGGACCAATCAGCCTGTATCCTGTGGAACAGTTGTATGAGACACTGCTGCCAAACGTGTAGCTATTGCCTTCCACAGTGCTGTATGGGACAGGTGGTGGGGCTCCACAGTTAACAACTGGAACAACAATCAACATGGTCAATGACATGAGTCAGTTATGATATTGGCTTGCATGAATAGTTGCTTTCCTTCTGAGTACAATATACTTGCAGTCTTTGAAGACCTAAAAAAGTTACTTATCAAAATTAAAGATCCTTTCTTTAAAGGGCCATTACTACCTTGAACACCCAATATCAAAACACTATCCAGCCCAGCTAGATATCAGGCTATGGGGTGTAGGAAGAAAGACAAAAAAGAGAAAGACAGAGTACTAAGAAGGAAAATGTCTTTCTTTGACATATCATCATATATCATCATATTCAGCTGCATACATCATCATATTCAGCTGCATGAACACTTGCAATTGACTGATATATAGCTTTAAAATCTAAATATTTTATGATAACTGGAAAAGAGTTTGCCATCAATGACCTACCCTGACAAGCAGGCAGACTGTTGCTCCACTGTCCATTGGCCTGGCAGGTGCGGTTAGCCTGACCAATCAGACTGTGTCCAGTGATACAGGTGTAGGTGACAAAGTGCCCGTATGTGAACTCACTGCCTGTGATCACACCATTGGCAGGAATACCAGGATCTCCACAGTTTACAACTAGAGAGGAACAATAGATTGCAAGACTTGAAGACACTAAGTTCTTCTGCAATATACATACACTCAATCAAGATGTGGATTGATAAGTACATGATTGTATGACTCCTAATCTTGTTCAGACTGGGGGTGTCAAGGTGGTCTTCTGGTCAGAATCATTTACTCAGAATCTGAAGGATCGTGGTTTTAATCCCAGGCAGGCCCCATTGTTGTGTTCCTATTAGAGGAAAGGCACTTTATACCAGGGGACAAGTGCAGGATCTTACAAAGTAACCTTTACAAACAAAGCCTTTCAACCATACTAGATAACATTGTCTATGAGTTCAGAATCACAGTTTTGTGACTTTCCTGAGTCATTAGGCCGGACCAATTTACTTTGTTGGTTTTTGGATTTTTTCATGAAAAATATGAAGTAACGGCGAAAAAAAAAATCAGGTCTAGGCATCCTATTATATTTACATGACTTTGTATAGCTCCAAATGCTATAGCAAAAACTGTGAAGTCAACATAAAAGGCTATGTTAATATTTAAACAATGAATTTTAAACTTTTCACCTAACCACTGCATTTAATAAATAGAAAAACTGTAAGAACTAGGAAGAACTAGGAAGAAAAGGACCTAACTGTTGGGGGACAAAAAAAGGGGCATTTTTGAGAACCAGAATCTTTTTTAGTTTTGTTTTGTTTTGTTTTGCTAGTTCAAGAAAAAAAAGGAAGAAGGAAAATCTGAGAACCAACAATTTAAATTGGTGTGCCCTTATATTGTACAATGTCATGACTTTGTTTATCCAAAAATGTCTCAATTTTCATAGGCTCTCCTTGTGTTCATTAAGTACTGACCCATGCATATGGGGGAGCCATCTGGTTTCCACTCTCCTGTTGCTGTGCAGTACTTGGATGGGGTGCCAGTCAACATGTAGCCAGGGTTACAGCTAAACAGGACAGTACTACTGTAGGTGAACCCTGTGGAGTTGTAGTTCCCATTGGAAGGGCGACCTGGGTCACCGCAGCTCTGGACTGTGGAAAACAACAACAGTGTTGAAAACAACAGTGATTGGATACTCAGTCTCATTGTACAAACTTTAAGAATCTTGAGCATGGAACCAGACTTGTTTGCATGAGGTATTAAAGAGCCATCTACATTAAGAGCATTGCAACCAGCCCTTTAAGACGGGGTGCTTTCTGCAACCTACATGTCACGTGTGTCATTTACATAACGTGATGTCACAGAAGAGGTGGATTACTCATTCCTTGACAAAGACTGGAGTCGTACAGTCAAAATCCAATTTCTTGTGTTGGAAATTACAGTTCAAACGTGCTTTACAATAGCATTGAAAAAGTGTATAAAGAAATGTTGAATTGTTTCATGGGCCTAAAGTTAACATCTGTACAACTATTTGTGCACGCTAGGATATGTGTAAGAGACTTGTCTGACTGAAGTTAAAATTCTAAACTCAGTCAGACAGCATTCAAATCTATCAACTGTATTCAATACACATGTATATGCTTGAATATTCCATTTTGTGAGAATCAGTATTTTCTTTAAAAGAATTTTCCTTAAGGATTCTTTTATGATGAAGTGAAGTGCTTACTTATACAGTCAGGTCTGGTGCTGCTCCAAGCTCCACCAGACTGGCATGTGAGAGACTGGCTGCCCTGTAGGTTGTATCCTGTGTCACAGCTGAATGTGATCTGGTCATTGGGGTTGTATGTGCTCTTCTTGGGCACAAATCGCCCATGGGGTGGGTCCCCAATATCACCACAAGTGGTTGTAGACCCTAGAGCAAAATTACAGTCAAGAGTTTTATTTAATGTTACATGTACATACTAGATAGGAAGGTAATACAAAACCTTGGGCACTGTTTTCATAATTTTCATAATTCCACATTAATCCCAATTCAAGAATCTGGTCATAAAATTGCATTGAACAAATTGCAATCATAATAAATAATAAAGGTATTGATATAAATGTAAACAACAAAGGAATGCATCACAAATGGAATTTGGCAATGGCATGCATTCAATCCATGTCTAAATGTTCCCATATAATCATGTACTGAAAAGTGATAAAGAAAGTACCTGTAACGCTATCCTCTAACAAATAACATGGTGAGAGAAAATTTATAAGAAATTAGATTGTGGAAATGTCATATCCCTAATATCCCTAAACAACAATGGACCTCACTTCAGCACCAAGGAGAGCACCAGCTTGTATTCATGGCATCTTGAACACGTTGACAAACCATTTTTCTAGTTTGCATCAGAAAATATTTTTTGACCCAACATTTGAAAACTCAAGACGGACTGTCATCCACGAATACCACCCTAAATGAGACATTGTGCCAAGGTGCTATACACAGTACATGTACATGTACATGAAGTGTTTTGTGCTGGTGCAGTACATTTTGCAAACATGCTGGAGAACACAGGTTGTACGCCTGGCATCCTGCACTATCTGCTGCTGTCATAGATCAATAGAAAAACAAAAATTGTTTACATATTAATTCTAATGTGTAAAACCTGAATTGCTGGATAACAATTATTTCCATCTATTTCCAAAGGTTTGGATCTTTAACTAGAAATGTCAATGACATGATCCCTAGAAAATGATTAATCATTTACTCCTATATCAAAGTTATGATAACTTGATAAGTCTTGATAAAGTCTTGATAAGAAGATTTACCAGAGCAGTGGAGAGCTGAGCCACTCCATGTTCCATCTGCCTGGCATGTACGACTCGTGTCACCACTAACGATAGTGTGTCCTGATGTGCAGATGTATGTGACAGTCGACCCAAATGTTGTAGTTGTGTCTCCTCCCTTGTTAGTATTGGGTGATGTGCCAGGGTCCCCACAGTCAACAACTGGGAAATGAATCAATGTTGATGTTAAAATAAGTACACTGAATGGATTTTAGAAAAAAAGTAAACTCCTGTCTTAGCTCACTGAATACTTCCACTGGTTATGACAGATAAGACAGATGCTATGTTTACATGATCATTCATTGCACCAGGAAAATACCCCCTAGCTCTTTTCGACAAGCACAATGAACGGTGGAGAACGGCTTAATATCCAGTCATAAGGACTGTGACCCTTTACACTAGCATGCATGTCGGGTGAGCAACAACAGTCAGGATTCAAACTCCCAACCTCATGGTGCAGGGGCAGGGTCACTAACCAATGGATTAGGTAATAAGAAAGCACAGACAACTTCTTCTTACAAGAGCTGACTACTTCTTTCTCAAAGTATCAATTCATGACTTTAAGATGTCCATAATAAGAACATGAAACTTACTGCGACATTCTGGCTTGGTGCCATCCCACTGGCCATTAGTCTGACAACGTATGGAGGAAGAGCCATAGATGAAGTATCCATTGTCACAGAAGTACTCTATAGTCACACCGTAGGTCGTTCCAGCTTGAGCCACACTGTGACCATGTTCTATTGTTCCTGGGTCACCACAGTCAACAGCTAAAATGTAGAGGGCAAGATACATGTAGATTAGTTTCAGTATTGATGATTTGATGATCAGTGAAATGAACCAGATCAAGGCATGACTCTCATATAGGAGGCAGCCATTGAAATATTCAACATATCATTTCTCTACCAACCAATTTGTTGATGAACATACATGAACTTAAAAGTAACATATAATTTTCCAAAGGCTGAAGTCAATACTCTTCTTACCTGTACAGGTTGGGATAGGGTTGCTCCATAATCCATTCTGCTCACATCGTATGATAGGTGCCCCCTGTAGGATGTACCCATCATTGCAGGTAAAGTTAAGGATATTGCCGTAGTTGAAGCTATCACCATCCCTGTCACCGTAGTATGGAACACCTGGATCCCCACATGTTATTGCTGGAATGTAAAGTAACATAAATGGTCATTAGTGGCTTCCTTGTAGTCAACATCACTGTTAAAGCATCACAGCTAATGTTACATATTAGAAACCTCTAGATTTCAACAAACCAGGGTTATTCTATCCAATAATTGTTGAAAAGTACAAATTAAAGAATTCTAATCAATCTGCTAATTAATCTTCTCTCCTGCTCAGAATCTTCTCTCCTGCTCAGAAATTACCAGTGCTGCATTAGAACATTTCATTCATCATTTGTTTTATTCGATGGTATTATGGTTATATGTAGTGGCAGAAATTCTGTTTGCCAAATCACAAAATTGTTATGTTCAGAATTTGCATGGTGAATGCATTAATGCCAGAGCGAACCCTTACATTACATAATATGTAGAGAACTTACGGATGCAGACAGGCATTTCGCCATTCCATTCACGGTTTGATTGACAGGTGAGGTAGGAGCTGCCAACCAGTCTGAAGCCCTCGTTACAGCTGTAAATCACTGTGGATCCGTAGGTGAAGCTGTTGCCTTGACGATTTCCATTCGTGGGAATTCCTGGATCTCTACATCCCTCCGCTGTGGATTTAAAAGAAATTTGCAGATTTATGATGATCATATCTTTATAAAGAAGCTTGTTATCACATGTTAACACTGATCTAGAAATCAATGATTTTTCTTTTGAAGATCTGAGTCAGACATACAAATGTATTTTGCCATTCCAGAGCTGTGCTTGTGTAGAACAGCAAAACTAGGGAACTTACCTACACACTGCACATCAGTACCACTCCATGTGCCATCGGCTTGGCACTGGCGCTGTTGTGACCCCTGTATGTTGTATCCAGCATTGCAAGTGTACTGTATGACAGAGTTGTAAGTAGCATTTGCCCCAGCAACATATCTGTATCCACCATTGGGGGGGATTGGCAGCTGGGCACATCTGTTAACTGTGGGAAACAATTAAAGGCATGCATACGTCACATTCCACGATGTAATATTAGGGATAACAGAGGCACAAAATGTACAGAACTATTCACGGTTATAGTTTTGGAACAGACAGATTTTTACAGCTCAGTTTTTTTCAAGAATTTTAGGTTACCTGTTTGACTTCTTTATAAAACAATTCAGCTAGTTTGCAAGGTACACAGTTGAAGATGGAATGTATGAGAGCATTACATGACCAATCAAAATCACTGACTAGAGGTTACCCTTATTTGTAAGACAGAATAACTGTTTTCAGCTGCAGTAGAATTAGAAGACTCAGACTCCACATTTGTCATAGACTGACTCACAAACCTTCACAGGTGGGAGGGGGGTTGTCCCAGGTCTGGTCTGCCAAACATGTCAGCACATGTAAGCCAACAGGATGGTAGCCTGCAGCACACCCATAGTCAACTCTGTCCCCATAATTGTATGTAGACTGGGACGGTGTCATTGTGCTGTGGGCAACAGAGGCTGGGCGTGGACATGTGCTGACTGGAAAATACAAGACAAATTATTATAAATCATATATAGTCTATGAGAATTGAATACAAATTCTGCATGCATGTAAATAACAGTACTGAGTGTGTAACAACATCTGATTCAATTAGTTCAAAATCTTATAACATTTTCAATGTATGCAAACAAGATGTGGTAAATACATTCTAATGTTACCAACTGTCTCTATCTTTCCATCTACTAGTATTTACATTTTTTTTTCTTTTCTGGATTTCTTTTTTAATGATTTCAGGAAACTTTCTGATCATGGCTCATTCCCCAACATTACTTCCATATAACCTGAATCATCCCTCCCAATAGTCCTTACTTTGACAGGCTGGTGGTTGTTGCTGCTCCACCCATTGGCACCACAGGTGATCTGCATGACAGCAGAGGCTGGCAGACGATATCCCAGGTTGCACTTGTAAGTCACAGTAGAGCCAATGGTAAAGTCATTCCCATCAATGATTCCATTGGCAGGGGCTCGGGGCATGCCACAGGAGGTGGCTGTTTGGTAACAAAAGTTGCCTTTAGTAAATTTTTGTAAGAGAGGAAGCAATTAATGTTTAGCATAGCAGTGGTAATCTAAATGACATCAAGCTCATATTAAGTCAAAATTCTGTAGTATGTACCAAATCATTAAAACTGGACACCTTCAGCCTAGAATTCTTTTTTCTTAAAAAGTACTTTCAATACCTCTATGAAATGCAATTTCAGAATCAACAATTCTTGTAGGGTTATTCATCAGTGCGAAATCCCTGCTAAGTACTCACCTTGGCAGATAGGTGCAGGGCTGGTCCACTCATATGCATAGTTTCCCATCAGCTGACAAGTGGCGGTGGCTTGTCCCACCAGGGTATACCCAGCATTACAACTGAATGTCACTCTGTCATTGGGGTTAAAACTGAAAGACAAAAAAACAAAAATGTTCATAGCAACCCAATTAACAACACTGTATTCATCCCTTTCTTGAAATTTTTTCTATCACAGATAGAGGTGTTTTTTCTATCAGCAGTCAACCTACATGCATGTTCCAAATATCCTTAATTCAATTACAAGATTGTTGTTTATTGTTTCTTTAAGAGCATTTCATATGACACGCACCTGTTTCCTTGTCTGTTGCCATTGTCTGGTATTCCTGGGTCATTGCAACAGGATGCTGGAAACCAAAACATTTGATTTATTGCTTTCAAAATGTTTGTCACTAAATGTTTGACACTAAAAGCAAAATAGAATGAAAAGTCCAAACATGCTGTATTATTACTGTGTGATATTATTGTACTGTGTTCACTCACACTGTGCACTCTCTATGAAAGGACTGAAATACCAATGATAAAACAGCATACTAACATCGGTAGATAAGTACAAAGCCTGAATCTGTAATGGAAGAATCGCTGGTCCATTTGAGGAAGATGACTGCCCCTGGACTGGTGTAGTTGGCTACAGGATTGGGGCGTCCAGTGTAGGTCACAGCTGCAGTGCCTGCATCAGTCGTTCCTTCAGGAATAAAATTAAATACATGTATGTCACAAGATGGAAACATACACATGTTAGGTATCTGAACATGTGCTGCTTTTGTTTATAGTAATCTACATATTATAGCAGATTACAAATCAGTGCCATAAGTGACTGTTACTGCCTATAAGAGAACCAACAATGCATCTCACTTGACTAAAAACTGTTCATCATACAGCAATACAATCAAGACAGAACAGACTGAAGCAAATAAAAGTTTTAACTGATACACTACCATCAAATACTTCAAGTTTGTCATATCTGGCCTCTGACTGGAAAGACTCAAAAAATAAAGTGACAGGGTGTCCATTACACCCATGCAGTGTCCAGCCACAGATGGTATTGATGGGGTAGTTATTAGGGTAGCCTGGACTCAGGATCACACCGCTGCCATCTGAACGGTCGTCATTAGTTGTGCACAACACTGGAAATCATAAAAAATAATAAAGGCAATTTTTTTAAACATTTGTAAGTCAGTTGTCAATGAGTGTTATGCAAAATTATGAGAACACAATACATGCATATGCAGGTTGTGGAACTGTGAAGCAAAACAACAACAAAATCTGCCACCCATACCAACAGCTCACATCTTTGATGGTCACCTTTGTTCATAAAGTTATAAACATTTGATGCTTTCTTTGTGAAGGAGATAATCTTCCTGTATATGTACCATAATATACTGGTTCAGACACACACCTGTACATGTTGGTGGGCTGTTGTCCCAGGCTGTGATGTTACCACCCCTGCAGGTCAGGGTGGAAGCCCCCGTAATGGTGAACCCACGGTTGCACACATATCTCACCACATCCCCGATAGCACTGCCATCTCCTATCCGCACAGAGTTTGGTACATCTGGTAGTGTCGGGCAGCTCCGGGAAGCAACACCTGATCATGACAGAGGAGAAATCAAAGATGATTGAAGTGGAATCTTCTGATGATCTGCTATGGTTGGACACTTCAATCATGGGCTCAAAAAACACCTGCAGATGCAGGTTAGTGCAGGTAAAATTGGGACTGTGCAGGTATTTCTGATTTCAAACCTGCATCTTACCTGCACTCGGCCATGACAAAACCAGCCCCAGATACTAGGGGGACATACATGTACACCAGTAGTGGTCAAAAACAGCATTGCATTGCAAGTTCTTCAAAGTTGCATATTCCAAGACAGCAGGGAACTTTTAAAAGTAAAATTTTAAAAATGGACCTATACTGTACCAGAAAATTTTTTTTCGAAACATTTCAATTCTTAATGAATTGAAACTTCAAGGCAAAGAAAGTCAAACTTGACTGGTGGAGGTGATCTTAAATGATGCCTGCATCAGTGCAACTACATTGTATGCAGAAAAAAGTATTTCAAGCACTGCCTACATACACTCTGGAGTCTACATTGTAAGTACATAAAAACCGTATCTTCATGTACCTGTGTAGCGCATCATGAACTTGCCGTCAACTGAGTAGTCCGAGGTGAGCTGTACCAGCACATTATTGGAGGGAATGTAGGTGTCATTTGCTTGAACACCAGTCAGCTGGACTGTGACAGGTAAGGATGTAGTAAGGCCCTCTCTGAAAACAAGAACACAGACAATTTAATATGCCATTCCTATACTTCAGTTACTTATTCAAAAGCTAAGAGATACATTTGAAGACAGCTTTTAAAAGTTAGCCTCTTCACATTGTCAAATGATACAAAGCTGTTTGAAGTTGTGCTTGCATGGGGCTCTGAATGCTCCTTTTTTAGGTTCCAAAGAGTCTGGATCAAGGAAGCATTCATTTAACATTCCCTTGAATTTTCTAAATAAGGGGTGAGGTTCATTTTAAGACAAAGCTACAATCTGCCTGATAAGTATTACTGACCTGAAGGTGAGATAGTCATACCCATCCTCCACATCAAACAGGTCAAAGCTGAACTGTACAGCCATGCCCTGTGGCAGCATGATCAGCCAGCGGCAGTCCCGCTGGTTACCATATGACCCAGGGTAGCCTGGGCTCAGGATGGTGCCCGAAAGGGCTGTGTAGTTGGCACCACATGGAGCTGCAGTGGAAACATGATGGTACACAGTCACTCAATATAACACACTTTCAAGTGTGGAGGATATGGAGGAAATTAACCTATCTTGCAGATATAAAAGAATTTGTGACATTAGCTTTGTGATAAGTTTGTATGATAGCTTACTGAAGATTTCCCTATAACTGAAAAAACAATGCATGCAGCTGTTCTGGTATATTTTCCAGAAGGAGTCTTGACTGACAACAGGTAAATTACTCATAAGCGTTTCTCTACCTACCGTCACAAGTGGGGAAAGGGTTACTCCATGTCAGGGTGTCCTGCTGACAGGTAAGAACAGGCGGGCCACTCACGATGAAACCCTCATCACACTCATACCGAATCACCGAGCCTGTCGCATAGCTGGTCCCAATAATGTGACCATTTTGCAGCGCCGGTGGTGTGACACAGTCTCGTGCAAGAAATGCTGAAAGGAATAGCGTAACACAACTTCTTGTACAATCTAGCAGTAATGGCAGCCTGGCTTCCAAATTTATTGTCTCACTTTCAGTTTCTTCAGATAACTGTAACTGTTCTTGAACATAATGTTACCATTATCCTATGATAAAAGCACAATATGGCTAGTATGCATTATCCTTATTGTTATTTGTGGTTTACCCTGTATCTTATGTGATTTTATGTATGATAATACCTATTGTGATGGGCCATGGTGGGATCAAACTAAGTCAAAGCTCAGTACCTTCATACTGAAGTGCAAACCCATCATCCTTCACTGAACTGTCAGTTGTCAATGTAATGACGACTTCATTGGACTGTGAATACAGCACAGGAGGAAGTGTCTGTCCAGTGAACCTGCCCAGTAGAGGGGAGTTGGTGGTGGGACCATCGTACAGGGACACGTAGTCATAGTCCTGCTCCAGACTGAAGTTCTGGAACCTCAACTCAATTCCTACAGAGAGTGATAAAGACTTATTACAGTCAAGGGCCAAATTCTTTTATACAAAGGCTGCCCTAACTTTGAAGGTTTTTAGTTTTCATACACTTCAACCCATGACACTCCATAGCTAGGCACCAGAGAAAATGATCATCTTTTGATAAATAAAATGTTGAAACACTTACATTGTATCTTAAGAAAATATTTCAGTAAAAAATTCTTTCACCTTTTATGTAATGAAGGTAAGAAAATGACCTAGGTACTTACCAGTTCGACCACTGGCAGTGATGGTCCAGGTACAGTTTTGTCCGTGATCATAGCCTCCTGGCCAGCCAGGTGAGTAGATCAGTCCAGTGTCCTCTGTCAATGACCCTCCACACAGAGCTGAGGAGAAAAACATTCCTCTTGTTGCAAGTCTATGATATTAAACAGATATGTGTTACAGTACTATACACACACTGCATTCAACACTATTATCTAATGCTCAAAAAGGCCAAAAGTCGTCAAATAAATGTCTCCAAATAAGAGCAGCTACCTTTTCCAACAATACTTCCAAACATCATTCCTCTAAACTAATCACATAATACAAATGTACTGGCCACTTTTCTGTCCACAAAATGTCAGGTTACAGGTATGACTTAAAAGGATTTTACAGCATCCATAAAATGAACAACAATGGTTCTCACTACAGGTATAAGACATTGTATGATCATGTACCTTCACAGGTGGGGGGAGGATAGTTCCAGTCCCTCCTGTTTCCAGGCATACAGGTGATATGCTCATGGCCAACCAAAGTGTAGCCCTCATTACAGCCAAATGAGACGACTGCATCCACAACAAAACTGTCCCCAGTCCTGTAGCCATTGTCTGGGATGCCAGGGTCTGGACATGGTGCACTGACCAAGCCATATGCTGAAAATGGTGAAAGAAAATGTTGGTGATGATTAAAAAATAATACAAAATTTTAATGTACTTTTGCTACAAAGTCAGAAAGAATCATGTTTACACCAACTCTGAAGGCCCTGAATTTTTTTTTTACACAATAACTCAAACTGATACACTGAAAAACAACTTCAAGAACCTACAGTTTTTGATGTCATTACTTGTGCTGCCATAAAATATGTAAATATCCCAAATTTCCTTTCAATCTTGGGGATAAAATGTGAAATGAAAAAAAAAATTTAGTAATTTTAGTAGAGTTTATGAAATAATGCAGTACATCTCTGCTGTAAGACAAAGAGGTTCTTCAATAATGAATCCTGTGAACTACCGGTTATGAAAACACAAACTGAAAAGTCCTTTGTTTTAATCAGTAAAAAAGGTACATAACAGTTACTGACTTTCATAACGGATCTTGAAGCCTGCATCAGTGACTGAGTAGTCTGTAGTAAGGACCAAGTAGATCATGTTGGATGTGGCCCTGATTTCCCTGGGAATGGTGGTTCCTGTTGAAAATAGGGATCACATCGTTAAATCCAAGCATCACTTCTATACATGACCGTATAAAATCTAGATGGGCACCAACACATGGAAAAAGGAAGCCCGGGAGGCAGCTACCTAGCTATACTGATTGATGGCATAGGTAAGGTCATGAGTGATAAAAGCTTTGGGGCAACTGCTGTGGTTTGAGTGGTTGAGGAAGGTTAGCAATACTGGGCAGGAGTTATAAGTAAGACCAACCCACCTGTATACTCTCCCAGTAAGAAGGCATTCGCAGAGCCTCCATCGTAGATTTTGAGCTTGTCGTACGACTCCTCTAAGATGAAGGACTCCACTGTCAGCTTCACTCCCTCCCCAAGACTGGCCTCAACTGTCCACTGGCAGTTTTGGTTGTTGCCATATTGTCCAGGGTAGTTGGGAGAATAGATGTAGCCAGAGGTATGACCAGTTATATAGGCACCACAACCACCTAGATAATGAACAAGTAATGAGCAAATGCCATAGATGAGCTTCTGTGACAAGAATGTTAACATTTATCTTGAATTTCTGGCAGTCTCGGACTGTGCTGAGATATACATACATATACATGTCAACTATAATTTAACATTATCCTCTTAGCCTATTGTAATGCTAGCACTCACAAGAACATTTGATGGAGCTGTTTGATGTAGTTAATTTTAAGTCAAAACAGCATTACACAATTTTTTGTAAAAAAAATAAATTTTCCTCTATAATATAATTATTAGTTTTTGACAAAACCTGCCCAATTTTCAAACATTGTGGCAGTCACAGTCTTGCCTAACAAGGTTTTTCAAGATGGCCTGAACTCTCACCCACACAGCCCGGAAGTGTTCCGTTCCACATGGCTATAGTTGAGGATGTCTCACACACCAGGACAGCAGTGTCATTCAGTACAAACCCAGGGTCACAGGAAAATGTCACGGACTGGCCAACCGCAAAGTTATTCCCCTGACGACTGCCAAACTCAGGCACCCCTGGGTCCTGGCAGTAGGAGGTACTTGTACCATGCACAGCTAGAACAGAAAATGTCACCATTACCATACCCCACCAGCCTTCAATCAGAGCATTTGATAGTTTTAATGGCATGCATTATAATTCCCTTATAGCATGCATCTATTACCGTTCCTTAGTTTCCTACTTACTTGTAATGACTTTGCATTTCTCTGTCTTAGCCATGCAACATATGTGTTACATTGTGTTTTATAACATAACATGTATCATTTTACACTTACCAGTAATGATAGCGTGAAATCCCCTTGCTGTGACTCGTGCATTTGTTACAAAACTCATCTGGACATTGCTCTGAAAGTTCACAAAGAAGCTATTGATAACATTTTCATAATCACCTAATTCAAGTGGCAAAAAAATTATAAAAGACATTGAGTTGAATTGAAACAGTAATCAAGACTAAAACTTATTTACAGTAATCAAGACTAAAACATATTCACAGTAATGAAGACTAAAACATAAATGTATTGACAGTAACTGCTCCTATGAAAAATTTCTAGGTGCACAACTTAGGAGCAGTCTTGAAGGATATTGTTCCACATACCTGTGTGCTCAAATAGTTTTCCCCTGAGTGTGTACCACTGAGGCTGACAAGGGCTGGTGATGATGATGAGGGTCCATTGTAGATGGTCAGGGTATCAAACTGTGGCTCTGTCTCAAACACCACAAACTCAAAATGCACAACTGGGGAAAGTAAAAAATGGCACACACACTATCACTGGCAGTAGTGACACATTTTTCCAATCCTCTGACATTTTATTTGTACCAATTTTGAAAGAAGGTATATGGTTTTCCTATTTCAAGGATACACACTTCATGTAAAATACTTTCTGTGAATATTTCAATAAGGTATGGTTGCATGTGGTTAAAGCTAATTTTCTGCACACTACATTGCTTGAAAAGTAACACCTGCCCTGTAGATTTGCAACTAGTTGAAACAATCTTGTGAAATAGTGTCAATCAACTGTACTCACAAAACATAAACTTACAAAGAGTTTTTTGAAGAGCTTACCATAAGCAGGGTCCACAGAAATAGACCAGACACAGCCACCCAGGGAGTTGTCATAGTCCCTTGGGTAGTTTGGAGAAACAATTACTTCTGACATGTCCACTAGTGGTCGTCTGTCTCCTCCACATGGCGCTGAGGAAGGATCCAAATTTGTTACTAACCTGAAAACTGCAATACTCTTAAAGATCTTGTGAGAAATGGTCACTGAAGAGTCCCTTAGCATAATAAATACATGTATAGTGACTTTGTGTTTGGATCTGAAATTTTCGTGGTTGATAGACTAAGCAAACACTGTCACAAATTTCCTGTGTGGCATTTACTTCAATTGTTTCTATTGGGTTTCAAATGCTGCTGTTGGGACAAAAATCTCTGTACCAGAGAAATACAACTGCTGAAAAAGATAAAATGACTATAACTAGTATAAGTAGGAAATTAAGGCCTTGGACTGTACCACTGACCTGTGCAGGTAGGGACAGGTTTGTCCCAAGTTGGTGTCCCTGAGACTGAAGTACAAGTCAGGACACAGCGGCCTCCCTGGTTACATGATGAGGGTAACTCATAACCTGAGAGATAAGAAATACAGTCTGTATTATTCTGCTGGTAAAACTTAAAACACAAGCAATTGAATCACCTGGTTATGTTGACGCACTCCTCCAATTCTCAGTTGTCAAATCATTAAGACTAAACCATGTCAGGAGCACTTATTGAAAACAACCATCTACAAAATAAACAGCTACGAAAATAAAATTCTCAGAATGCCTTTTTTTTTACCCCACAAGCATATATAAATATTACAAAGAATTCCATGTGTCCAAACACACTTACCATCATCACAGGAGAAGCTGACAGTACTGAAGATGTTGAAGTTGCTGCCAATCATGGTTCCATTCATGGGTGCAGTCAAGGGTAGACAAAAGGTCCTACGGATGGCTACATCAACACAGGAAAACATGCTTGACAATAAACAACAAACCATGAGATTTTCTTGTACTTGCTCAGGTAGTAATGAGCATGCATATGTGTATGCAGTAACAAGGCTATATACAAGGATTTATTTCATAATGACTTGTACCAACACAGATGAACTTTCATGCTAATTCTATATACTGCTTTGTGGTAAAACTGACATTGATAGAACATTTCTCTCTTAAACTCTTTGCTTTATCTGAGTGGTGATTATTCTGACTAGTACCTTGGTATCTCAGCTGAAAGCCATCCCCACCAACTGAAGAGTCACTATGGAACACTATAGTCATCTGGTTGCCACTGCTCCTGAGTGGTGCAGGCAGGTTACCCTGCTCAGACAGGTGGCCTGTGTACTGGTCTCCCAGCTGGGCTGAGGAGTTGGTCCCGTCATAGATGTTCATGTAGTCATAGCCTGTCTCAGTCTGGAAACTGACAAATACACATAAAATTATCTAGCTTCTTTGGCATAACAATATCAAAGGCCATACCTACCTGTGTATCATACTATAGCAGGGGGATGCAGTAGTAATCATTTAGCACCAAGGACAGGTCTACACTATCATTATAACATAGTCCAGCTTCTATAATCATCATTCAGCACCCAGGACAGGTCTAGATTATCATCTTATGGCAGTGGGCTTTTGTAGTCATTATTCAGCACCAAGGACAGGTCCACACTATCACACCAAAGTGGTGGGCTTTTGTAGTCATTATTCAGCACTAAGGACAGGTCCACACTACTACACCATAGTGGTGGGCTTTTGTAGTAATTATTCAGCACCAAGGACAGGTCCAAACCATCACATCAAAGTGGTGGGCTTTGTAGTCATTATTCAGCACCAAGGACAGGTCCACACTACTGCACCATAGTGGTGGGCTTTGTAGTCATTATTCAGCACCAAGGACAGGTCCACACTATCACACCATAGTGATGGGCTTTTGTAGTCATTATTCAGCACCAAGGACAGGTCCACACTATCACACCATAGTGATGGGCTTTTGTAGTCATTATTCAGCACCAAGGACAGGTCCACACTATCACACCAAAGTGGTGGGCTTTTGTAGTCATTATTCAGCACCAAGGACAGGTCCACACTATCACACCATAGTGATGGGCTTTTGTAGTCATTATTCAGCTCCAAGGACAGGTTCTCACTATCACACCATAGTGGTGGGCTTTTGTAGTAATCATTCAGCACCAAGGACAGGTCCTCACTATCACACCATAGTGGTGGGCTTTTGTAGTCATTATTCAGCACTAAGGACAGGTCCACACTATCACACCAAAGTGGTGGGCTTTTGTAGTAATCATTCAGCACCAAGGACAGGTCCTCACTATCACACTATAGTGATGGGCTTTTGTAGTCATTTTTCAGAGCCAAGGACAGGTCCATACTATCACATCAAAGTGGTGGACTTCTGTAGTGATCATTCAGCACCAAGAGCATGTCCACACTATCATATCATAAATAGGCTTTAATAAAAATCACTAATCACAGGTCTTGCTTGTCATGTCAATGGAGAATAGTATTTAATCATACTTCTTAACAAACATTAACATCGATGGCTGAAACCAATGGTAAATACAAGTTAGAGACGATGTATACTTACTATATAAAAGTCAGCTCCACCACCCTATCCTGCTGCACCACAATACTCCAGGTACAGTCACTGCTGTGGGGATAGCTGGGGTAACCAGGGGACAGGATCAGGCCTGACGGGTCCGTGAAACGACCACCGCAAGGTGCTGGAAGCACACATTTTGAGTTAGCAAATTGTTATCATCAAAACAGTGCAAAATTTTGTATCATAATGCTGATAGGAAAGTGAACTTCCTTGTTGGTAACAATAGTTTGAAAAAAATGACTCCGTGTCCGGTACCTTCACATGTTGGAGTACGCCCACTCCACGACACGCCAGCCTGTGAGTTGCCCTGGCAGGTGATATAACTAACACCTGACAGAACGTATCCAGGGTCACACTGGAAGTAGATCGTGTCACCAACACTGAAAGAACTGCCACCAGTCCTGGAACCATTCATCGGGGTTCCTGGGTCGTTACACACTGTTTGAAGATAACCTGAAGGGAAGTATGCAGCACCTAAATATATACCTGACTTTGGCATAGTAACACGAGAATGGCGTACATGTATGTGTGCTTTTATCTTATGTTTGGGGTAAACTTAAATCAGTAAAAGCATTTAACATCAACTTCACTTTGCCTTTGGGGGCATTGAATCCATTTTCGGAAATTCTATCAAGACACAGGCAAAGACGACCTTTTTCTATTGTACATCCTATGTTCATATAACATTAGACAAATCATGTAATGTTACATGTAAACATACATGTATTTTGATCCAGTAGCATAAGAAGGGAGCAATCATACTTGTGTATCTTATGGAGAAGCCTTGGTTTGTGACTGACAGGTCCGTGTGGAACTCGATGCGGATGGCGTTAGTGTTGTTGAGATTGATGTCAGGAGGCAGAGTCTGCCCACAGAAGCGCCCTCCCCCGGCCATGGGAGATGTAGCCAAATCACCGTCACGGATAATCAGATAGTCACAGGTACAACTTCTGTCACTGCCACAAGTCTCTATGCTGTGTTTTCAAAACAATGAATTGTCTTTCGATAAATAGCAAAACACATGTTACTGGTAGCCATCTTTTATCACCTTCTGTACAGCCCTCATTTAGGCTCAAAAGAGTATATCATTGATAAGTAGTGTGGCTGGAGCCTTAATAATAACTTGACTATGTCACTTGCATAAAACACTAAATTTGTCTTGTTTCATATTTAAGAATTAAAGAGTGACCATAAGCAATTTTTTTATGTAACAACAAAATTATTTACACACCTACAATACCAATTACAAATATATATAATTACATTTTTAAGGTTTGAATGACTTTGTTGTTAGCTGTACTTACTCCAAGGTGTTGAACTGTAGAGTGAATAATAGTCCAGCTGGAGCCTGTAGTGTCCATGTGCAGCCAAGGTAGTTAGAGTACAGTCCTGGGTACCCAGGGGACAAGATCAGCCCTGTGGACCCTGGGTTACGAACTTGAATGTTTCCTCCACATGCAGCTGTAAAAAAAATCAATCAGACTGCTCATGGTGGCTTGTATGAGGTTCATTGAAAAATATGGAGTATTCTTAAAGATCATTCCAGTGAAGACCTTAAAATCGTAAGCAAGATAAGGCTAAATGTGCCTGTGAACAGAGCTTCCTACCTGTACATGTTGGCAGGTCACTGTCCCAGTGTGGACTAGACTGAGGGTTACTTCTCACACAGGTGATAGTCCGGTTGCCTTGGAAAGTGTAGCCTTCATTACAGTCATATCTGGCAAAGGCTCCCACTCCATACCCTGTAATCTGCACCACATATCCATTTTGTGGATTGCCTCGGTCAGGGCACTCGGATGAAAGGGTATATGCTGTAGAAGATAAAGCATATTCCAAATTTAGTGGAAAGGTAGCTTTTTCAGACAATGCTATTCTTGAGCCAGAAAAAGGTGCTTTTCTTCAAGCTAAATGATGGATGAAAACTGCAATTTACAGTGAGGGTCACATAATTTTGAGAAGTGGCAGAACTGGCAGAACATTTATGTGACACTAAAAATAACATTACGTAGCCAAATTTTCTTAACAATCAGCAAACCTGCTATCAATGTTTAACACAGAAAGTCAAAAAGACAGTCAATAAGTAAAAAAGACAGCTCCATAACAGCTGTGTTAAATACTCACATTCGTATGAAATACTGAAACCCTTTGCCTGGCCTGAACCGTCAGTGATGAACATCAGAAACATACGATATGAGGAAGAGTTGAACATCTGGCCCGGTGTCAGCTGATTTCCACTGAAGGTTCCGAGCGATGGGGAAGACTGAGTGCCATCATAGATCTGAATATGAGAAAGATGAGATAAAAGGCAGCTTATAAATTTAGAAATAAACATGTGGCGGAGACAAAACTTTAAGTGTGTAGTGTAGACCTTTAAATATTATAGCTTTCATGTATGTATAGAAAGATGCTAAAGAGCCAGAAAAGTCCAACCAGAAAAATGACAAATGCATACAATGTATATGTTACAGCTTATAACCTACAAAAATGTTGAATATCATACACCTGAAATTAGTCTGAGTTGTGCATCATGACTCTGATGATAATGCATACAGGATCCAGCCACATTCCATACTTCTTGTAGATGCATGTAAAGGACTATGCCATAGCTCTGAAGTACATGTACCAGACTGAGTGTGATCATCCCTAACAAACCCAAGTGAAATGATATGTGACGGGCTACTCACTGTCAGTGTGTCACCAGGGCCAGCTGTCTCAAAGTCTGTAATCCTTAGCCTTATCCCTTCGCCTGGGTTCACCGTGATCTCGTAAGCACAGTTCGGTAGGTTGTTGGGGTAGTTGTTGGGATACCCAGGGGACACAATATTACCTATTGGTCCATTGTGTAGACCACCACACTGGGCTGTGTGTAGAACAAACATGTACAGGATTGTAATCATAAGAGCAAGTGACAATTCTATTGGTTCCATCATTTTTAAGACATTGCCAATAACTGGATTAGGATACCAGACTGCACCAAATCTGAAGTCTAAACCACAAAAATACATTTTATCCTGAGTATTACACTGACTAGCCTATAGAGATATTGAGCATGGCTCCCAAACGTGGATATGTTTGCATCCTGGCCCCCTCATCCCAGTAAGCTCAGCTAAGTTGGCATGGGATTGACGTGTTCTTGCCACAAAAACCACCTACTTGAGGCAGCACTCAAGTCAAAAGCTCTGAGGAAGGTGTCTGATTACAAAAGTTTAAAAGAAAACTCCAATATCCTACAGACATGTGTACATATTCTGATGACTTTTGACTTTTAAGATATTGCATTGCTCACCTTGACACTGAGGTAGAGGATGATTCCAATGTGCAGGGTTCCCGTTCACACATGTGAGTGTTGCTGTCCCGATGAGGTTATAACCAGGGCTGCAGCCATACATAATGGACTCCCCCACAAGGAAAACTTGGCCACTGCCCTGGTTGTTGTAACCGTTGTCAATGTTACCAGGAAATGCACAATTTGCTGTCAGGTCAAAGGCTGCAACATAAAAAGTGATGTTTGAAACAAGGACAATGTTTTCTGTCAGTATTTTGATATATGCTGCTGCCCTATAGATATACATGTAATAGCCACAGAAAAAAATGACCAGATAAATTTCTTACTTTTAGTCATGATGATTCTTATAAGTTTGATTACAGGAAAGATATATAATCAATATTTGGACATTTGATGAAAAATATAATACTCACTGGTATAGCTGATGTTAAATCCAGAGGAAGACACTGATTGATCAGATGATAGGACTAGAAAGACAATGTGATAGTTTGCAGAATATGGGCTGGGTAAGGTCTGTCCTGTATATGACTGCACTGCTGTGCCTGGGTCATCACCAGTGTAGAGCCGCAAATAGTCATAATTGGCCTCCAAGCTGAATGTGTTAAATTGAAAGTTGATGCCTGAAAGAAAGAGAATCGAGTGTTCTTAATACTCAAACCACCAGCCTTAAAGAAGCAAACAATAAAATAGCTACATGTAT